GGGGACTCCAGTGAACGAGAGTAGACCTGAGTCCCCAGACATCTGTTAGGAGGAACGGCATCTAATTTACCTCAGAGTGCAGAGGGGAAAAACAAAGGAAGCGGAGGGAGGAGGTGGGATTTAACCAAAGAGTTGTGGATGGGAAACCTACATTAGGGGCATGTGTGAGTGTGTTTTGCCTTGAAATCTTATGCCTGTAGCATTTCCTATATTATTATTTTTTAAACCCATGAACATTGATTCTTACCTACATTGAAGATGGTTTTGTAATATGTATTTAAACATGTAAAAATTAAAATGAAATGAATTGTATCTTCTTTGCTCTGCTTCAGTTTGGCCTTAGATTTGAAAGTTTGCCCACAATGTTTCCAGTAATACATAAAACAGAGAAGCTTCTAGTTCCCACTGCTTTTGTTTTTCATTATATACTGGCATGTTAGAAATTATAATGATAAAATAATAATGACAATCATTCAAAGCCATCATATATTACTAATAATAACTTCATGTTCCCAGTGGGTCAACCAGCCTCTCTAGGATTTTGCCTTTTTCAGGAGTTTGGTGTTCTCTCCAAAGGTCAAAGGTTATCCATGGATACCCACTGTGGGGTCTGTTTCATTAGGTGTTAATGACCCTCCCTGAGGGGAACTTGTCTGCTGTGCTTGCTGGTACTTTTCTCTGCTCTCCCTCTTCTCGAATTATTATCATGTAAACCTGTTGTTTTTCATCTTTTACTCTAACGCATATTACATTCAGATCTTTTATCCTCGTCTCTTTCATCAGTATCTCTGTATCTATCTCTTGGTGAAGTGTTAAATAGGATCCAGCAAAAACCTCATTAAAACCGGCTCTGCTGAACATATGGTGGAATCAATGAGAGGCTCATTCATGAAGTGAACCATCAGGAGGCTGTTTGAATGAAAAACTATCATAAATGATCATGTAACACATGGTCTTGGATTATTTCCCGCTTAATTACAGATAATGTACGCTACATGTCTTTGTCCCTGCCTTGATCTGCTAATTAGAGAGGAAGCTTGGGCGCAAATCCTCTTCGCTTTGTTGGAGGAATGTGTCTCTCTCAGCCAAAACCAAGTGTTCTCAGCTAATTTGAAGCTTGCTTGTCAAAGAGAAGGAGCCCTCATATTAAAGCAATCACAGGCTGTAGGATCTGGCCTCCATTCAGTTACGATATACGATAAACACACAACAGTAGGAGTGGGAGTTTGAGGGACACATTTGTAAAGCTCAAGGCTTTGAGCTCCCTTGAAAGCAGAATGGGTTCTTGTAAGCAGGATACGGGTGAGATTCAGCAGTCCACTCAAACAGAAAGACTGACCACTGTTTACTACAGAGCAGATCATCCACGGATGTGTTTAAAACTTGTGAATGGGGGGCCACTCTGCACAGTTTGAGTGAAAATAAACTCAGATGTAATGCAAACATAATACATTTTGCAGTTCAGTGCAACTTAATCAATGCAGAATAAACAACTTCATTAACTTTGGGTGAAGCAATTGACATGATTATCTGCAGTTTGTAATTCCTGAAATGCCTCTTGAAATTATGCAAAGTTATTTCAACTGGAAGTGTTAAAAAGTAGGACATAAGGCAGCAAGGTGTTGAGTTGATACTGATAACTGATAATGTCCTGCTCACGATACATGACTCACCACCAAGAGTGCAGGCTAGGGTCAGAACCAGGCTTGCATTCAGTCTTTTATTAGTTGTTTTCATGTCTCAGAGCCATGCCATGTTGCATGTCTTTGTGTATGTCCAGTGTGTGTATGTGTGAGTGTGTGTTTTAGTTAAGTGTCAGTCCTTTTTTTCTGGTCGCCATGTGTCTATAACTTATTTATTTATGTTTATTTTGGTTTGGCAGTTTTTATATGTTACCTACGAGATGATTTTAAAACCATTTAGGCTTCTTATAAATTGTTTTTAATTTTATAGTGATGTTTTCAGTTGCTTTAAATACTCTTGTGCTTATTTTGTATCTTTTTTGCAGTTGAAATGGTGTTTATTTGGCACCTCTTTTTATTCTTGTCAAAGTGCAGTTTTTGCTGTCTTCTCTCTTTCTGTTTTTATGAAACTGTAAAGCAACACCTTTTGCTATTTTTCTCTATACTTTGAGGTGATTTTGATTTTTTTTTAAATTTAGTAATATTTGCACTACTCTTGGAATATTTTTGTGTCCCTTGTGAATTCTGTTTTTGATCTGTCTTTATTTCCCATTTTATCTTTCACCCCTGCAGTCCTTATGAGATGCAAGATGATTGGAAAATGAAACACATTTTGATATAGATATTTTAATTAAGATTTTATCTCATTTGACATTATTGATAATCTAAATCTTTCCTAGTATCTCTTAATCTATATCTGTAGAAAGTGTCATACAGATACAACATGTTAATATGAGAGTGCTGGAGTTAAGGTGTCAGACTCAGGTATGTCTGCCACTTTTCCTCACACTTTCTAACCCCACACTTTGAGGTCAAAGGCCAGCAGATGACTCCTCTATTAAATGACCCCGAGGACAGACCCCACCCACAAAGAAACAACTTCTGTCATGCAGTTGTTTCATTAAATCTTTTTTTTCTTTTCAGCATGTGTAATATTAAGCCATTTGCATTGATGTATTGATGCACCACAGTCACACTGAGAATAATGTAGAGAAACACAAGGCCTAATACATGATAACGTCAACACAAATGTTCTCAACCTCAACATTTTCTTCTGTAATGACCAATTTAGCTTCATCCTTCACAGTAAATGAGCCCATTACAGCGGCAGTAACAGATTATAATCACTTTCCCCTCATCAGTCTCTGAATAACCCTGAATATGAGGGTCAAATGACTCGAGGTGACACTGGGAGAGGAATGCACTTTGAACTTTGACCCCTTGGAAGGCCAGGGCACTGATCCTGACCTCCACAGACATGACGCGGACCAGTGAGCAGTGACCAGTTGCTCCAGTCACTTCAGAGGAAAGGAAATGCTGTTTGGGATATTAAAGTTTGAAATAGACATTAAAGGACCTGTAGGGAGCTTTATTGTTATGTTAATGAAATAGAGTGGAACTTTTATTACTAGCCTATCTTTACATGAGATACAAAAGCACCAAGACAAATGAGTTTTAGTTGTGATTTGTGATGCCTGAAAAAAGAGTGGGTAGGAAGGAGTCAGTCGAGCCCAATTTCTACAATTCCCATGTAAGATATAACCAGAAAATGATGCATTTGATAGTCTAATACAAGTAGGATGGGGTAATTTCTCAGTGAATAGTACTTGAGCATTCAAGGACAAGATCAGCATAGACTGACTTGTTGACCAATGCTACCCTAGCTTTTCCATTTTCATTAAGTCCCTATCCTCAATACTCAACAGTAAGGAAAGTTAGTTTAATCAACTCCTTCACATTCAGGCAGTGATTCAAAACTGTCTTTAACACAGGCATTTTAATGGTGAGCGGGTATGGTATTTTTCTGCAATGCCATTTTTTGTAAAGTCACTGAAGTAGAAAGTTTAGGTGTAAATGTTTCGCCATTGAGCAAGCAGCTGCAAAATAGTTATGCTCGAGGTTTCAGACGCTAACAAAGGCAAAATACTTCTGATAAATGAGGTGGATGCCATGATTGTGAATCATGATGCCCCTTTACCCCGTCATTGCACGAACACAATGTAAAATCACATATTTTCACTAACATATGGCGGTATTGTTCCATTCCATGACAGACATTAGACATCTGGTGATGTTGCAGAATTTCTTCTTTTCCCAAAGATTTTATTTTTGGCCTTTATTGACAAGAAGAGGACAGTGGAAAGAACATGAAACAGGGGAGAGAGTGGGGAATGATGGAGGCCAGAGGGTGGAATCAAACCCGGGTCTCCTATGTATGTGAGGAGCAACAAGACCACCAGGCTATGGGTGCCCCTGTTGTTGAATTTCTTCAAGTGCCAATTTTGTCCCTAATAACCCACAAAATAAGTGATCAGATCATATTAAATCAAGAACCATCTAATTTCTATCAATCTGATTATTTTGGGGTTAGTTTTCACTAAAGGGGAGAAGGAAATTCTGCGGTCTGTGTTTTGGTCAGTGAATTACTTCTTACTTCCAGCACAAGTTTTTCTCCGTTTCCACCAGCTGATCCATGCCTGATTAAACCCTGGCGGTGCTCTGTATACAGGCTGGCAGACTGGCAGCCATTCCTCTTTTTAACGCGAGATAGGACACTTGACCCTCTCAATAAGGGTCACCAGTCACTTTCATTGGGGTGTAAAGATCTTAAGGGGCGACATTCCCCCACCCATACCAATATCCGGGTTTGGTAAAGTACTCGTGTTTGGATCCTTTGCACCCTCTGTGGGGCCAGACGCTCACATGGATCGTCGACAGGAAGGTCATTGTGTGAGCAACAGAGAAATGTATCAGGAATGGAGCCAGGACTTTTTGGATAAAGGCCTGTTCTGCAGACCTGCGGCTGAACCATCTTGTTTGCATATCAATACCTTCAGGGCTGAATAACTCCAGCCAGCTGATGAATGAGAGATTTGCTGCTATCTGGAGTTTCAGGCCTCTTTGGCACAGAGAGAGACATAAAGGAAACTTTTCACCAGCGGGAAACTCAACGACATAGCTGGCTGGTTCCCTTTGCTCGCTCTTCACCCATGAATGGATGGGGTTGTGTGACTTGGGGATATTCTATAACTGGAGGGTATGCAGGGTGGAAAATGAACACCACCCACCTGTCAAATACGAGCAAGTATAAGCTAAGGTTCCCCAAGGTAGCAAGAATCATCTGAAGTCTGTTATGAAAATAAGGTTGGCGCTGAAAGTGGCTCTGAAGTTGTTTTTTTGTTTCAGACATCTGGTAAATTTTTGAAAATTGCTCTTTGTCCTTCTCTGTTATACCAACAATAGAATAACTATCTCTTTAACTGCTAAATGCTCCACCAGCAAACATTAGCTGCTAACTTTGCCTGTGTGGTGTTAGTGTGGGATCAGATGCATCAACGTGATCTCAGAAAATCATGTGAATCGTCATTTTAGCAAGTTACGGTGGAGAGGAAAACTTTCTTTTAACAGGCAGAAACCTTGAGCAGAACCAGACTGATGTTAGAGAGTCATCTGCCGTTACTTCATTGGGTTTAGAGAGAGGATAGAGGGAGATGCAGAAAGAGAGAGATGGACGGAGGTGAGACTGATGAATGTCACTGAAGCAGCTGAAAGCAGGCAGGTCCACAGCAGCAAAATGTCTGCAGCAGCTATCCAAAGGATCCTTCAGCATGATGGACTCCAAGAAAAGACTGTGTATCAGTGACTTTAATAGGACATGATGATTCAAAGTTAATGGCACAGACAGTAAGAGGATGGAGAAGGAGAGAAAGGTACTCAATGTGCCAGTACCCCCAGCAGTCTAAATCTATAGCAGACGAGCTGTAACCATAAACTTTATTAAAAAAAATACATAACGTAACATTTTGATTTATACTTAAGTCAAATCATTTGTGTTTTCGTTGGTAATCTTTCAGAAGAGTTAATGTCGTGTTTTGCTTTCCTGGTATCATCATGTCTGTTTTCTCTGATTTGGTCAATGCATCTTTCACTCAGCTCCTTGTGTGTTTTAACAACCCCTGCTTATTTCTGGGCTGTTTGCCTCTGCTTGTGTTAGAATCCAGATGACCAATACTACTCCAAAGAGCACATGTAAGCTGAAGAAAGCTGCATACCAAAGTAAATCTTGGGCAAAAAAAAAAAAAAAAAAAAAAAACACTTGGCCACATTTTTAAAATGAGGTTTGTATCAAAAAGGTTTTGTTTTAAGTAAATATTACAAGCATTACAAAGAAACTAGATTAAAGCCTTTAATAACTACATCCAAGATAGGAAACAGATCACAGTTGAGGCAAAATTGGATTTGAAAGGTAAACCAATATTTTTTCTGTTATGTTGCAGTTAACATGTAAAAAAAAGGATCAAATCAACATGACTGAAAGCGTCAGACTGGACACAAACCTTGGTTTTCAAGGAATTTATGATGGCATCTGTGTTTAACTAGACTCTCAACTTCAGAAAGGATCCTCAGTCCCTCTTTACAGGTCATTTTTATGGCATTTTATTTGTAAAGTAAATTATTGTCCAGTATTCTAGTGGTCCTATGTATTTTTCAGTAATGATAGTAGTTGGCCCACATCTTATTGAAAACAATAAGTCATTGAACAAATCAGATCAGTATGTTTGTGGGCTTGGAATTTAAAGCAGTAATATCAGGTGAAAATATTTGATCCATTATTGATAGATGTAAGTATCAGTGTGGCTTTACCTTCACTTTACATTTGCCACTATGATTTCATATTCGATCTCTTTGCTCCATTTCCCTTTCTTTGATTACATCAGTGGCCAAATCCCCCCAAAGGTGATCAAGAAGAGTGAAAAAAGGACCACTTTTTACCTCACCAGCACAGCGTGGTAGAAAAATGAGCCCCCTGTTCATCCTCATGTATGTGTTTAGGCCCTGCATCGATTACAATGTGTGGAAGATTGGAAGATATATCAGGTGTTAAATAATATTTTACAAATGTATGATAGCGACCCATGCTCGACCCCTGACTTAAATCAAAGTGACAGAGGGACATGGTACGTATAAGCACATATCCCTGCCGCCAATAAACTAAACAGGCAGTTATTGATCCAGACCCTCTCCCTTCAGTGGAGGTCCCATAGGTTGGGAATGCAATATTAATGGATCAGGGGGGAGTTGTTGTACGCCTGTGTGTGTTTATCTGTGTGAGTGTGTGTGAGAGCATTCGGCCCCGCTCATAGCTCATGCAGGGCGACTCCATTAACCAGTGCAGTGGTAGTGGTCAGCAGTTTATGGCGACCAGCCTCACAGGTCAAGGGGGAGTGAGGAGGTCAAAGATTGCCATCCCCAAAGGTCTCCAATCACCACGGTGAATTGATTGCTTACACATCAGAAAAGCCACTGCGTTAACTTCAAATTTAGCTCCCTGGATGCCTGTGGCTACAAGACCCCCACTCTACCCACTGTCACTGCCAACTTCATTCCCTCGCTGCACCCTCAGAGCTGAATGACCACTCATTTAAGTCAACAACTCACTTAAGTCAACATTAAGGAAATACAGATGTGTTTATCTTGCTGGCAAAAAGAGGAAATCGCTGTCATATGTCCCATAAAATCAACAGTCAGTTCAGTTTAAAACAAAGCCATCTTAACCGTATAATTGTTCATTATAATCCTTTATAGATAGTTTTGTTGGCATTGTCGTCAAAAGTAAAGTTACAAGAACAGTGAACGTAAACGCAGAAAGTAGTTCACTTCTTCGAGGATGCAGATATTTTAGTTGGAGATACCACTGCAGTCAAAGCAGCTTGATAACTTCCAGGAATTTGACGGATTCAACTAAGTCATCCTTAAATTAACATGAGAGTGATTCATTTCGACAGTTTGTAATTCAATATTGTCCAGCGGGTCCCTTTGATGAAAAACATCTGTTTAACAGATGTAGTTCGTATCCCCAGCAGCAGCAACATAGACTCGTTTGGAATAAACACACACATGATTAACTGAGTTCGATGCAAAAAAATGAGCACAAACACATGTTTCATCATAAGAGTTTTAGTCAGAATTTCCAGCAGAATTTCAAATACAAAAAGTTTCACAATATTTTGTCTCCTTATAAATTATGCTTTTAGAAATATACAGTTTCATGTACAGGTAAGTACCATTTAAGGAAGTGAGCGTTTATGAAGATGTGTAGAAAGAAATCACAGTTACAGGAGCTTAGCTTCAATAACAGCAAATTTACAGCACATAGTGGTCTGCATTTTGTATTTCTGTGACTGTCCTGTTTTCCTGCATTTGCTACATCTTTTATGGCGACAGAGTTGCATGACAGTCCAGAAAAGAAGTTTCATTTTAGAAGAAAAATATAACCTTCCATAATTGTATTGGTTGTAATAACATTTTCAACGCTGATACAAATATGAACTGAACAGCTAAATGAAAGCATTTCTAAATAACTTACACATGTTGAACCACACATCTCTCCATGTGCTCTGATTGTGCCTTTGTGCATAATTCAAAAACCTTTTCTTCCTTTTTTCACCATCCATGTTGTTTAGTATCACAGCTTGTGTGTCTTGGATATGTAATTTGGTTTATTGTAGCTCTGCCCTGCTGTCATAGCCTCTTACTCTGTTACCACTTTAGCCCGTGTCCTTGCATTGTTGGCAACTTTCTAGGGTTATTTTCTGCACAACAGAGGTTGTGCTTTTAAGTGTTTTGGACGGCAATAAGAGCCGAGGGAACTCCTGGCACTCAGGGTGCCAAATGCTAGACATTCCAATTTAAAGCATGTGGCTTCTGCTTGTCACACTGCAGCGGTGTGAACCACAACAAGCACTTCTCCAAAGTTTTTGTTTAGAAATGCTTGCTGAAGCAGCTCAAAGGATTCAAGCTCACATACGTGTTGGCATGGCTGTTGTAAATCCAGAAGACAGGGGGAGTTTTCCCTAGAAAAGGAAACAAGGAGAGGCATATTTTGCATTGTGAGACCTTTGGTAAATACAACATTCCCATGGTATCCCTGTCTGGTTTTGGTAGTTAGCTGAATGCAAATGCTGCTAACAGTTTTTAAGAGCTTTAGTGAGTAGCTGCTCAGTCCCAGCCAAAATCATGGCCGGTCATTTGGTAAAACTTAAGATTAAAGGGTCTGTAAAAGTCTCTAAGCCTGAGCAGGACCTCTGAGGGGATCTGGGGGTGGGGCCTGCCCTTAGACTTCCCCAGGCAGCGTGGCCTGCTGCTTCCCTCAGGCTTCTTCAGGCAGGGGAAACCTTTGGTCTGGTTAAAGTAGAAGTGCTTGTCTGTCACAACACGTTTCAGGCCGAGGAAGTCCTGTACACGGCCCATTTCACCTGCCGGGTCCGTCACAAGGCGTTCGCCGCTAACAAAGAGGAAGCTTGAGAGCGGGAAGAAGTGCAGCCAGTTCTCGAGATGTTTGGCGTAGATGCCAATGCGCACGGCGCTCCAGGATGTATCAATGAGACCTGTGGTAGCGTTGCGGAAGGCAAGGTTCTGGAAAGATGGGAGACCTGGAGATTTAGTCAAAGTCTGGGTGTAATCAGAAACAGCCCGGGTCACAGGGTCCCGTACGACCACAATGAGCTTGGTATGGCGGCTCATAGAGAAGACACGACGCGGGGCTTCTTTGGTGATGAAGTAGCTGGGAGTCTTCTCCATTGTGATCTGACCATCCAGAGTACGAGGCATCAGGTTCCTGCATAAGGGAAGAGAAAAAAAAAACAAAGAGAGAGGCAGCCATTAATAAAACTGTACACATGACCTCCATGAGAAAGAGTCGACATGCATTTTAAAGTCACAAAAATAACATCCATATCGGAAAAATTGCATACATTGCTTTAATTTTCTCATAGTTCTCATAACATTCCTTTTTACGGTACCTTCGTGCCTTGAAGGCTTTTTGATTTTCCTTTGTAATTAGAGGGCTCAATCTATGATTAGAGCGAGATAAACATGGCATTAGCTGCTGGCATTGATGGAGTGACCATGTCAGCAAGGACTGGGAGGGAATTCCATGAGCAGCTACTGTCGGAAAACCGCAAGACTATATTAACCCCAGAAAAGCAATTTCCTCTCATCCACTGCCTCCTCATAAACATGCTCATAAGGGCCTGGACTCTCCCTCTGCTCTTGTTTCATTTAAGGCATGAGGACCATTCTGCAGGGCCGAAAGGTCACATTACTGAAGAGTGGTCCTTGGTCCACCACATCATCAAATGCATAAGTAAAAGAGTTTAAAGTTTGTATAGGATAAGAGCAATGATATGACAGTAAAAGATGTTACTGATATTATTTTAAAGTTTTGTTTAAATGTATTCAGTTTTGGGGGACTTTTAAGAAGAGCATTTTGTCCATGTCAATATATTCTGTGTCAAAAAAATAAATAAATGAAAGTTAGTTTTGGATGTGTGTAGGTAGGCTATGGTCTCATGTCCCTTTAAGATGCTGTCCTACGTCGGAGACGTGACTCTACCCCATTCAGTCCGTAACAAAGAGGGAAAGACAGGTAAAGAGTTAGAGGACAGATCAAAAGTTGTAACAGCTGGAGTGGTGGCTGAAGTAGATGAAGTTAATGTGAGAGGGGGTGAGCAGCTTGTGGAGTAGTTAATGTCTATTTATCATTATCGAGGTGAACTTCTCAATGTATCATGATGTTGATTTACGGCCACATCGCCCAGCCCTACTTTAAAGACTCATTCCACACAGTTCCATTTCCTGATAATTCTACACACTGAATGCAGATGCCTGGGAGCCTCACCACATTGCTCAAGTTTAATCTGTGCAGACACTGGGACAAATCCAAAATAAATCTTTAGTCAAAACACAATTTTACTTTAAAATAAATGGGTTCTAATAAATTAGTGAATATCTGTCTTATTTAGAAACTGTCTGAGTGTATTACTGTTTCCTGCCATGCTGGTTTCTGTTACAGCGGTATTGCCTAGTTCCCCGATCTCATGAATCAGTTTGGAGACTGCGATGTTATTTTTACAGAGAGGAATAATGTCCATTTGTATAAAAATAAGACACAGGTTGTAGCACACTGAAATTATCCAGTAATTTATTGACTATTTTGGCTGCAGAAGTCGTAAAAGTAATTTCTACTTAAAAATCGGCAAAAGTCCAGAAGTATCCTTTGACAAACAGGTTGGTGCAGTATCCTTTCATGGTAGCCATGTGTTTGCATTCAATCCTGGTTATTGCTTTTGGCCCTCTGATTGTTATTATCATCAGTGGTTGAGGTATTCTAGGCACAGTTTGGCTTTGAAAGGCCTGGGCTTCCCTCTTCCTCTTGATCTTCACCCTACTTAGATGACTCACAGGCCGAGAAGACGTAGTAGTGCCTTCAGCGAGTCCAACAAACCTTTCTCGAAGTCTGGGTTTGACTCAGACGCCTTATACCACGCCAGGGCAGATTGTATATAAAAAGAGGGAACTGGGCGGGAAAGGAAAACCTATTTATCTTGTGTCCTTATTTCATGCAAATGCTAGTGTAACGCAACAGTAAATCTTAATAACATCCCTTTTATGATATGTCCTGCCAGTTTTTTTGTTATAAAAACAACAAAATTCAGTGTCTGAGCATAAAGAGCAGTTTTGAAACTCAGGCTCAGTTTCTGTTATATAGATCTATCTGTGAGAGATCCTTCAGCTAATTTCCATGCTTCCCTTTCCTCTCTCCCTCCTCTGCAGACATGTGGCGATGGTTGGGAGTCAGAGTCTTCGTGGTTGGTCTGTAAGTGAAGGGCTTATGGGGCTCCGAGCTCTGGTGTGTGGTGATGGGGCTGACTCTGTTCCTCTCTTCTTCTGATCCAAAATACACAGTCAGATCCAAGTTCGGTGTGTCCTCTGGCATAGAGCTTCGAGGGTAACACCAAATATACAACTTATGGTATTCATCAGGAATATAACAGAGCCAGGGCTAAACAAAACTGAGAAAGACACAGCAAAAACCAATAGGAAAAAAGTTTGAAAAACAACGCTGTGGCTACTTTTAACATTGAGTAACGTCCACGCCAAAGAGTAAGCTACAACCTACAGGTCTGGAGCCAGGATCTCTCTGCTGTGGTCACAGTATGACATGAGAGGCAATTAAGTTTTATGAATCTGGATTCAAGTAAAAAAAAAAAAAGAAGAAGAAGAAGCAACATTTCTCATTTGGATCCAAGGACAGCTTTAACCACCCCCGCTTTGGGAGGAAATCCCACCCTTAGATACAGTAACTCTCACATGTCATCAATCTGTGAGGCCATTTTGTGGTAACTTCATGCTGTTTTGCTTCATCTACTTCTCCTCGGCCTCCCTTGTTTACCTGTGTTTGCTGCATTTCACAGACCCTCAGCAACAACATGCCTGAGCAATTAAGTATTTCCAGTGGAGGGAGAGGGTTCATCCTTTAATCAGCATACTTTTGGCCACAATGCACTCGGGTCCCACAATATAACTGTCAGTGGAGTCTGCCTTTTTTTTATATGATGAGTTTCTCCCACTGTGACTCTTGAATATAAGTTCATAACGCTGCTGCAGAAATACTCTCTCTACTTCTTCAGAAATTGGAATTAAAGCTGACAGTCACATTGATGTTTCAGGTTGTGGGTTCTGTTTTTTTAATCCCACTGAGAATGTGTAGTCATGGCAATTGGGAAAACTTGTGGTCGAACTGCAATATCTGATAAAATATGCATTACTTCTGAAAAAGTAATTGGGTTAGACAAAAAAGAAATCCAGGAGGGCTGTAGCGTAATAAAATGGCCAATTGAGGAAGCTTTTTTTCTATTTCTATTGTTTAGTGTGTATCATGATTTCTCTCACTGTGTGTCTTCCAATCACAGCCCGACAGGTCTGCTCAACATATCACACAAAAACTATTACTGCTTTAAATGATCCTTTTTCTATAAGATGCTTTTTGCATTGGACAGCACTCTAGGGTTAAAGTTACATGCTATATGTAATGGCTATGCTAAAACTGGGCGGGTAGGTTGATGACTTGAAGAGTAGATTGTAGGGGTGGGAGAAAAAAGATTCCCAGAAGTATAATGATTTTTTGTTTTACAATTTTTTAAATCAATTTTTGTATTCAAAAATCTTTATTTTTTTCAAATTTAAGAATAAATCTTAAAGATGTGATGTGATGTGTATTTTTTGGAATTCCTGGAATAGTCAGGAGACAATCATAATCATTCAACTGTTTCACTGGTGTAAAAAATTCAGACTAAAAATCGAGAAAATCGACAATATTAAAGAATCATAATTTTTATCAAATCAGCAGCCAAAAAATTGTAGAGGAATCGAATTGGGAGAAAAGCATATTGTCCCAGCCTTAGTAGATTGTGGTTTGAAAAATGTCAGGTACCACTAGTGTAACAGCTCAAGTGTTATACCCAATGCCCAGCATAAGTCAGTACACCCCCTATGAAATTTAGCTTTGTTCCCAGAACTTTGATTGGGATGTACTCATTTTTGCATCCTGATTTTAAATTGAAAAAAAAAAAAACCCCAAAAAAAACAACCTTTTTTTTGTATGCAACTTAAAAAATCTTGCTTGCAATCAAAGGCCCACATTTGGGGGAGTATTTTGTTGTATAGTCTGACATAGAAAATGTTGATTTTGAATAGGAACTAAAGATTTTCTGACAACTCTGAAGGGGTGTACGTATTTATGCTGAGCACTGTAACTACTCTAGCTGTGTCCCAATTCAGGAGTAGCATCTTTTCAAGGACCAAGCTTCTGTGGTGTGTAAAATCCACTCAGGGTGAACTAAAAAAACATGGCCAGAGTCACATATTTAAAATGGCAATTTCAAGTTTTAAGATCTTTCTTTTTTTCTCAACAACTAGATGGGTCACTATTGCATTGAGCTGAATTCCAACAATCAATGTTTAGCAGTGTAAAATCCAGCTGCTAGAGAGTTAGTGGTCTGTAAATCCTCTGTATGCTGCTGGAGCTGATCAAATTGCCACTTTTGACTTTCACACAAAAGCAACTATCAGTTCATTTCCTAATTTTGAATGGAAACAAACACATATAAGCATGTAGCATGAGAAAGGTAATGTGCAGATATTCAGATAGTTGCAAGAGTCTAGGAATTTGTTAATGTCTTGCTTGGCAACACTTCCATCCTTCTTTTGTATTCCTTTGTGGCACCAGGCAGCGACACCCAAGGCCCAAACAATGAGAGTTTCTTATGGGTTTGCCCTGCTTAGTGTTTCGAAAAAGCCTCTGTAGCTCACATCAGTCTAATGGAAGTCAAAGTGTTTCATCCCAGCCTGAGTGGGACTTCCATCGACATTGTGTTTACATCTCGGACCACAAGCCTGTAATCACAGAACAGCCTGGCTACAACAAAGAGGCAAAGAGGAGGCCACACAGTGGTGGAGTAAAAAGAGGAGAGTGCAAAGGAGAAAAACAGTCAAGGAGAAGATGGGGTAAGGAGGAACGGAGAGGGGAGAATGAGTGGTAAGAGCACAGACGGAGAAAGAAAAACAGCATTAACTAGAAGAAAGCATGAAATCCTCTGATTCAGAGCCATCTAATCTCATTCTCACATGATGATAAAAACACAGTGTTCTTTGTATCTTGTATTCAGGTTTCCGAAGAGAGTTTAGGGACCTGATGCTTGTTTTCATCGCACCTTTACCATTAGCATCTGGGGCAGGAATGCAGTCAGCTTTGAGTGTACACAGATGTGTGTTCATTTGCATACAAACGTGTGCAGATGCTCTCACATGCTCACATTTAGCACTCCTCTGTGTGGGTGGCCTGAGTTTTATTAGAGCCTGTTTAAAGGACTGCAGAATAATAGGCTACTGTTTATGACTACAGTACAATGACATACAGACCATGTCGAGCTCCCAACTAAAGACCAGAAGACAAACAGGAGCTGATTCATGCGCAGACAGATCATTTTAAAAGCATTTTCCACTTTTACGCTGAAAGCCAAGTTGAGGTAACTGCATATTTGGCCAAAAATGAGTTAACGCTAGATTCTTTTGACATTTTTACAATATGAAAAATGCATACACCATAGAAATTTAACATTGCCATAAAGACACTAAGCAGAATTTGCAGCTACTACAAAGTCAGGCTGGAGTTATATAAAAGCCAAACCACACTCTGGCATGGCTTACTGTCTCTTTCTGCACTCTCTGCCACATAGAACCAGCTACATCTACTTAAGACCAGCCGGTCTGAAGTTAGCCACAGGTAGCCTTAGAAACAGTATGTTTATCTTCTTGACTTATGATTTCTTTTATGTATATTTGAAGAAGATGGCACTGGACTATACCCTGTAATGACACCCACTGACATAGGAATTTTGCCCCCATTCAATGTGTACTGCAAAGCAAGAAAACAGATGTACACTATGTTTAACTTTGCATACTGCTGGTCTGATTAAAAGGACTTTTAAAGTGAGACAACAAACACTCAGTGGAAGTAGGTGGCATGACTTTTGGTTAATCTGACGTGGGCGGTGTCTCATAAATATCAGTGCAACACTCAGCTGAATTCAACCGCTGCATTGGTAGCTAACGGTGTTGGAAACACAGGGAAAACAGATTGTGCAGGTGAAGCCACTGCTGAACAGGAAATGCACATTGTCTTGAATGGTAGTAAGATAATGTAAACATTTTTAAAGTAAACTTTTTTTAAACCCTAACCCTAACCCTCTGGGAGATCCCCCAAAATTGACTAGGTCAGATAAGCTGGGGTTATAGTCTGAATATTTTGTATCTTCAAAAAGGAAGTATAGAAATTTCTAATACAATGAGTATTGCAATACCATATATTGCCATTTATACAATTTTTTTTAGCATTTGTCTTTCCTTTATGTTTGTCTTATTTACAGTGCATTTTATTTTCATGTAGCACATCTTACAAACCTTTTATTTTTGTTGCACAAACTTCCTCTTCCTCTATGATATCACCTCTGCCAACCTCACCGAACAAAGAGTTGATTTCATTTTTCCATTATTATAGATTTGACTTCATATAAGCGATTTATTTGAAAAAATCTATACTTGCTAAATGAGATGACACAATATATCACCAGAAAAAATATCAGGATACTATGCTGTATCGATTTATTCTCCCACCCCTAGTAGATTAAGTGGTATAGAAAGACACATTAAACTGCAGTGTGGGAAAATTGATTTTAAAAATGCTTACAAAACTATTACATTTGATTGAAAGTTTATATAAATACACAAACAGTAGGCTGAGGAATACACTGAAATGATTAACTTTTAAACGATGAACCTAAAAGTAACAAGTTAAAAAAGGTGAGTTTAGAAAAACTCTATCATCTATTTGCCTCTCCTGATGACCCTAAAATAGCAAAAAGGAGGCCTGGCTTTTAAGGGGTCACTTGTTCTTTGCCTGATAGTTTGGGGTAAAATCATCTTTAAGACAATAAAAAAGCAGTGCAGCTAGAAGACACTTTTTTTTCCTTAATGGCTGTGTCTGTAGTACCTTGTGTATGATTTTGAGGCCCTAAATAAAGGGTCCTGCTAAAGCGCCACTTTCATGTGAAAATGTGTGTATATCTCAAAGTAAAAAAGACACCTGCCTGTAAAGTAAACAGAGCAGCTTTTATCGCTCTGTAAGTGAGAAACACACACTCACTCCACACAGTTTCATTTCTGCATCTTCTACATTCATACGTGTCAACACAGTGCACACACACACATATGCAGACTTGACTTCTGTACATGCCTTCTACAGGATGGATTCACATCTGGGAGCAATGAAGTCCTCAGTATGTGTGTGTGTGATTAGTGTGTGTGTGTATGGTGGAGATGAGGGAAGTGTTTCTGGTTTAGGAAGTTTCCCTCTGGTCTCCTGGTTTTGGAGTCTGAAAGCTGTGATCCGTACTGGCTCAGCTGGGCGACAGGCCAGACCCACGGACCCTCATAATCCCCACCAGCCTGCACCGTTCGGAAATGGACTCTTACACCCTGAAGGTTGGAGTCATGTGGTTGTGATTCAGAAGGCGAGACCACCGAGGATAACGGGGATCATGTAATGCAACATGTCATCATGTGCAGATTTCTCTCCTGTACATGTGATGTTTCCTCCTCTTTTTCTTTTTCTGGATCTCCGTTTCTTCACTCTCACTCTCACTTTCGCTATCTTCCTCTCACAACTTGAAAGCCTCCACTACACCTCGACTGTAGCCTTCAAAGTGAAACTGTTATTTGACACGTTTGACACGTGTGAAAGAAGGAATTCTGAAACACACTGACGTCTTTGACCACTACAGAGGGACACATGAAAACAGACCGGGTCTGGCTGTGTGTGTGTTCAGGGATCTGTCAAAGCTGCTGTGTAAAGGCAGAGGTTTGTCATTACTGACAGCAAGTACAGGGCTGAGGAGCTGCTGTGGGCTGATTAGAAGTCGGCAGAGACTGTGAGCAACTCAGTACAAGGGAGGTAAAGTAGTACTTCTCTTTGTGCCTGTTGGAGTGAGGCCACTGTGGTACTCGGTGATGGTTCTGGACAGTATTTAGACTTGTCAATGAGGGTGGGAACCCCAGGGGTGTTTCGATACAGTACCAGATAATGACGACAGTATCACAACACGTCATAAACTACACAAGACAGTATAGTGTTAACATAAGAGACAAATACAAAATAATCCTGAAAGATTACATACAGGATAAACATCATTAAATTTACTGAGAGGAGTCATTAAGTAGTGATGCAGATTTATTTTGATTTAAAATTGACATATTGATAATTTTGTACAAGCAATACAGATTAAATGAAATCTGACGGGATCCACTTAGATTTAATCTGATCCAATTTGATATGATACGATTGAAATTTGTATCAAATCATATTCTAAGCACACAAAAGTTCCCTGTAAAAGCCTGACACAACTTAAATCTCATGGTTTGTACTACTTTGCAGGACGTGCAGATACACTTTTCTACACCAAATATCAGCATGCACCATTATCCCTCAGCCCTTTGTGCAATATATGTATTACGTAAACCCACGAGAATCTCGCTTCTATGTGTGTGGCAGGCTATTACACACTTCGAAGGCTACCCTCTGGCAGACACACCAAGGTGGTGAGGAGTAATTTTTGCCCAGGAGGTTTGCATCAGTCGGGTAGGTCGGTAGGAAAGAGCTGAAGAATTTCTGTAGCTGAGGGGAAAAATAGGCGTTAATAGAGACATCACAGGGCCTGAGAGCGCTGAGTGAAGGAGGGATGGTCAGTCAGAGTTTCCTCTGAGAAACCAGGGTAGCACTGATGACAGAGCAAGATCTCAGTATGTGTATATGTGTGAATGTTAGCAAACCACAAATTTTACACTGTTTCAACACCTGGTAAAAGTTAGTAACTGAGTTCTTCCTGAAAAGTTGACCGACGTGACTCCAGGAAAAAATGTATAAGCAGGGAGGAAGCATTACAGGATGGCTGTTCTCCGTCAGAAATGCAAAAATGTGAGAGAAAAATTAATGTACAACCAGACATGTTACTAAAATACTTGATTCTAAGTGACTTCAGACAGGAAGGAAGAAGGAAGCAGAGATTTTATCTTTTTGACTGCCTAAGAACCGTTAATGACTGAACCAAGGAAAAGAGACAAAGACTACTGTGTGCTTTTGGATATTTATGTACAAGTGTGTGTCTATACCAGAGAAAATGAGTCTGTGTGTGTGCGCGCGCATGTGCGTGTGTGTTACCACTGATTGCTCCCACCCCTCCTGACTTATCAAATGGGAAAATCTGCATTTGTGTTCCTGCCGGGCCCACAGTGGCCTACTTGTGTGGCTTTATCTGTGAGCAGACAGGGGCCTCGGGGCCCCACCCTGCCCCTTCATCCGCTCTCCTGGATGCTGGACAGAGGAAGTTAAAAAGGGACGTACAGACTGGGAAGATCCTGACCCCTGTGAGGTCATGATACACTCACTGCTGTTACATAACAGACTGTCTAAGAAATGATGATATCTTAATTCTTATGGTATGCAGTTAAGCCAGCAGTTTTGATCTAATTAAGATTTGTACTTTGATTTATCATACAAAGAGCAACTAAAGCTGAACTATTCAGTCACTGAACCTGGTTGGTTTAATAACAGAGTCTGATATGGGAAAAAGGAAAATTTGGTTATAAACTAATATTTAAAACAGTTTAAATTTAAAGCTCCTGTAAGGGGTTTTTAGCTGTTTTTAAAAACAGACTGAAATGAATATCAATGCCTCTGAATGAAATATAAAAGCAAACTGTACTATCAATATAAAGATAAATCTTTTCCATGTTGTTGTTTTCACTGACAGGGGTATGTGTTTTATTTTTATTTTTTTTATTTTTTTTACATTTTCCATTGAAATGATTCTTGATTGTCGGTTAGTCAACCGATTATAACAATGACAAGTTTGTAAAAATTGATATATGCTCTGTCAGTTCCCTAAATGTTGTTTATTTTGTGCAATGGCAGATACATCCGTCTACGCCTTAGATTTACGTTTCTCATTATGTCCAACCTGAACTTTTTACTCTTCACGTCATCGCTGAAGTCACTAAAACTACGAGACACTTTACCTGTATCGAAGTATGTCAAGCATTAAATAACACTTTGTCTCGGGTTTGCCACTGTGTATTTATAATATTGTATCATTTGAAAAAAAAAAGCCTTAATCTAGATAGATAATTTTAACACATTTTACTTTATTTTTATGCACTAATTTGGAACAGCAGCTTGAAGTGAATCCTTTAAGAAAAACATTTGTGAGGAGGTTAGTAAGAGGTTTGTCAAACATTAATATTTATTTAATTTCTAAAGGTCCTTTCAGATTTTCTAAACTTTTCTTTATTTAATAAAACACTCTTTAAAAAGTGTAGAAAAGTGTGTCTATTAGGCTATAACTGATAACTGCAGCGTTGTAGCGATTTTAATAATGCATTAGAGATTTTAAACTTAGTTGAACACTATTTCATGAATTGCAAAATACATTAACAGTATTTTTATTTGATCTGTATCAAGTACAAAAATTACGTTTAACATTTTACAAAGTACATCAATACATCAATTTTTCCTGGATAGATAGCTATTCTAAAATTTGACACTTAGTTTAGTCTGACCAGTTAAATATTAAACATGAACACACCATGAACAAACTCAAATTTTTACTGCGCTCTCTAAGTCAACAGAGTAAATAACCATGTTTCACTAATTAAACAGCCTTGCTAAATGAGTAAACACACACTCACACACGTGTGTACACACCTTTAAAACTATATAATTAAGTCAATATGGACTTTTGCTCGTCCGACAACTCCCCAGATCTCAACCAATGAGAACACTTGATACTGTTCTATTCTCAAAAAACACTTCGAACATTTTCAGCCAGCCTCTCCTTGCGGTTTGTCTGTTCATTGTTAGCAGCATCTAGCACTGAAAAGAGGAAATCACTGCTGGCAGATGCACAGTTTTTACAACTGGAAATAGTCCATCCTGTGGTCAGCTATTAGTACCATCTATCAGGATCATCAGGGTGGACCCACAGTGTTTACGCACATGCCGAACACACAGGATACAGTGGGGTTTGGATGAACATGAAGAGGGAGGTGGTGCTAGTGATCTGGATCAAAATAAATCAAATTTCCCCTATAACAGCACAGATTTTTCTGAAATTACATAAAGATAAACTTAGTCATTCAGGATTTTTCCCGTTTAAGTTTTATAGCAAGCAAAGAAAGGTGTGTGTCTTTACAGCAGGACTCAAAGGGTGGCTGCAGGTTTTCACAACCATCCAACCCACCCACTTACCCACCCACCATGGCAGTCAGACATTAAACAGAGATAGACAACATTGGTCTGGCCACAAACACACACACAAACAGAGAGTCAATAATTACCTGCCTTTCCAGACGCACCACTGATGGTTAACTGGGTGTGGGTTTAAGTATCTGTTCTGTCCATCAAAACCAACCAGCAGTGACTTTGAATAAAATTACGTCAGTGTTTATCTCTTTTCCTGACACAAATATTCATTATGAAACTGACGTAAGTGGAGAAAGTGACCGATAATGTATTCTGATACCTTTCTGTGAAAAACAGCGGGAGGAACGGAGCTTGAAGGCAGCAGCGTTACGAGATGCTTAAAATCTCTGGATTTCTCTATAGTGATCATGCTGAATATCTTTTATGTATTACAGAAATAATTCACTTTTTTGTAATTATGTTGATTGCAGTGGAATTTGGTTAAGATCAGTTACACTCATTATTGTTGTTTAGTCTTTTTGGATATATCCTTATAAATACCTGAACAAACAATCTTGTTTTCATTTAATCAAATACACTACTTTTTGTTTCTACTTTTTGATTAAATACTAATTCAGAGTTTTCTGGGATTGTTGATATTGCAACTCCTTTCTTTTTTACTTTCACCCCAAGAAAACTGAGGATTTTAATAAACTCTTAGTTTACAAGGCTATAGAGTGGTATTAGGAAAATGTTTTTTACAGCTCTGTGCTGTTTCTGGGATAGGAAATTTTCATGTTTTTTTTTACGTCCTCTCTCTTTTTCAAGGGGCAGCAGTAGCTCAGGAGGTAGAGCGGTCGGCCAATAACTGGAAGGTTGGCAGTTTGAACCCCACCCTATCCTGAGTCTGTCCGTTGTGTCCTTGGGCAAGACACTTAAGACACCTTGCACCCAGTGCGTCCTCTACTGGTGTATGAATGTGAATGATGTCTGGTGGTGGTCAGGGAGGCCGGGGGCGCAAACTGGCAGCCATGTTTCCGTCAGTCTGCCCCAGGGCAGCTGTGACTACTAAGGTAGTTTATCACCACCAAGGTGTGACTGTGTGAGTGAATGAATGATGTATCCAATGTAAAGCGCTTTGAGGTCACTTAAAATAAGTGCTATAAATCTGATGCATTAGTTTTTGTTGGCTTATTCTTTTAACTTTCAGCTCAAATTCTGGCATGCGAACACTGTGGTGTGAGCAGAACACTTGGGCCAGTTTCTGTCCATTGAGCCGTATGAGGAAGAGAAAATTGATCCAGATATGTTAGGTCGCTTTCACACCAGAGCTGTTTGGTCCGCTTTAAACGGACCAGAGTTTGTTTCCTTGGATAATACGCTTCCTTTGGGCAGGCGAACTCTGGTCCGCATGAAAACGTGGGTCTCGGTTCGCTTGCAAGTGAACCCTGGCTCAGTTCATATGCAGTGTGAAAGCTCACCGGACTAAATATAAGACCAAATGTACGTAATGACGCTATACGCAGTGCATACGCAGTGCATCTTGGGTAGAGGAAGCACTGCGTCTGACATTAGAAGTTGCTAGCCAGCTTAGCTCGATTGTCTGAACAACAATAACCCATAATTCACAATTTGGCATATTTAAACAAAATCAAATCACAACTACCAACAGTCACAGTCCTTAAACTCTGAGCTCATATGTTGTCACATGTTAGATCGTCAAAGTTAGAAAAATAACAGGATCAGTCCCTGACAAGCTACGATAGTATTATAGGAACAGTTGCGTTCACTAACGACGTAGCATTCCATAAAATAATGTGACAAAGCACAATACAAGACGGCTAATCCACCACTGTTTGTAAACCGTGGTGGATTAACAGGGAGAGGCAGAGTTTGATGGGTGTGTGACATAGGGAAAGCATCCACATACTTTAAGGATACAGCGCTTTGAGTTTAGCAAAGTCTAGAGCAGACTTATGATACTCATGGCATGGGTATGTTTAACTTTGTGAAAACTCTGACAGAGTCTTTCACATATGCTTTAGGAGCTGATCTATTTCCATGGAGGCCACCATCTTGCACTGCCATGTTTCACAGAAGCACATAACAAACTAACAAACCACACTTCGGATATGTTTTTGTGGCTACACTGAGAGAAATGCAAAATAATACTTATCGTGTAACAAAGTGGCTTTTGGCTATCCCTAAATGTTTTGCTTTCTACACTTTTCACTGGTCTTTTTTTTATTAAATATCTGGATGGTTTGTAACTTTCAAGATCAAAATTAAAAAACCCATCGATGAACACTTCAAACTTCTCTGCAGTCAGAGGATGTGATCAAAGTGTTTCCCCTGTGAGCCTCTTACATCATAACTCTCTCCTCAGTCATCTGGTTTTGTTATTTCTGATTGGATGAGACACGGCATGCTTGAAGTGGAAAGGTCGACCAATGACAAGCTGTCAAAACACTGATGACTGAGCTGGATCGGCTTTTTTTTTCCCCCTGTTGAATTAAAATCCATACCTATCCTGCACCAATTTATCAAGTCACGTTTGATTAAATCCTCAAAGTTTTCCAGCTTCATTTACATATTGTATTACAGCTGACAAAAACCTATTCACATGTAAATAGCAGCATGTGTCATGTTATGTTTATTAGCTTTGACAGATGTGCCAGATAGTGTTGCTCATGTTTATGGATGTAGACGAGCAGTCTTTCCTTCCTATGCAGCTCGAATACTCGCAGATCATTGAACCCTGTCATCTGCACAAAGCCTTCTTTCTTTCTGCAAGATCTATACATCCAAAATTTGGCAGATTCTTTCCTCAAATCCTCCAACAGTCCAAAAATCCTCTACAGAGCATGAAGCTCACAATAATGTGAGCAGCAAAGAATTTAACCAGTGAATCCCCTGTGATTGGTAGAAGAGTCGAACAGGAAATAAAACCTGGACATTCCTGTCTGGGTAGTGCATCTAGGACTCAACTGAGTTATATACAACAAGCTTCCTGGGAGAGAATAGACTAGGAGACAAAGAAAAGAGTAGATAAGGAGAAAGATTTAGAGACAGAGAGAAAAAAATCACCTCCAAGGAGATGGGAGCGAGGACTTGTGCCATGGCTTTACATTACACAGTTTGAGTGACCCGAACAAGCCAATAAATCCACTCCAGCAACACTCAGACTGTGGGGTGTAAATGTCAGCAGGCGAGTGAAGTAACAGCTTCTTGTCAACAAGATTGAATATTCAGAGGGTAATTCATTTCTGCTGCAACAGCGCGATAAAGGCAGATAGGGGGGGATCAATAGAAAGGACCTATTTTAGGTGATCGATATCTGGAAATGACATTTATATCTGCGGGATATTTATAGCGTCCAGAGAAGGTGGACAGAAAAAGAAGACAGGGAACGGTTGCACTTCAGGTAGAGCTGGATGCTGGAGTGTAAATGAGTCCGACCTCACACACACACGCTCATGCTTGCACACCCAGGCTGTCTGAAACCTCGTTCCTGACCACCAAACCACAGAATCATTTCCAGCAGATGGCAAAGCCAAGGCTTTTCCACATATAAGCATTTTTTCTAAAACAATTTGCCAAATGCTTCCTTTAAGGATGTCCATGTGTTTTACTTGGTGAGCGACTGAAATCGAGGGGCCAAGACTTTCTGTGAGCTCAAAGACGCAAACAGCACTGAAATGAAGAGCTCTGTCAGAAAATAAATGCTTAAGTGATACTTTCCAGCCCAGTCTCAGATGATGTTGTTGGCCTCACATATAACAGTTCTGTTGCAAATTGATATATATGAATGACTGGGTACTTACCATGTAATTACACTAAATGAATAATATTTTTGTAAGAATATGATATCTGGAAGTATAGAATAGTCAAGAGGGCAGAAAGGGAAGAGGAGGTAGAAAGGCACTGACTATTCAGACGCTATCATCATCATCATATATGGCAGCTGGAAAGACTGCACAAGATGGATGACAATAGATGATGATGCATGACGTGTCTCCACCTCATCCAGTTGCACAAAAGTGGAGTCAAAATACACCTACAGAGGACGCTGACACTGTATAGGCTCTTAGTGTGGCCGGGGAAGATGCAATATTGATATTCCACCCCTGCTGCTAACCGAAACACACATTTAGCAAACCAATCAAATGGTAAAAATCCCTCAGGTCAGAGCAGACTATGAGTGCAGTGAGGTCTTGTGTCACTCTGAAGCATTAGTTCATAGTTATCCCAGTGATCTCTGAACACAGCGCTGCATGAGCTTCATTTGCTACATCTATCCCGTCACTCAAACCAGGAAAATAACCCTTAAAGGGATATTCTAGCGTACAATTAATTTAGGGTCGAACACACCGTAACACCGAGTTGGACGTCCCCTTGAGAGATGAATGTTGCTGACCGCTTGCTTCTCTAGTTATACCAACTTTAGTAACGACCGCAGGATACCAATACACAGCGGTCTGAGGAGCCATAAACAAACCTCAACCAAAACACCACTCTATAGCCACAAATAATGTTAAGCACAGCACCTAACTTCATCAACAGTACATATAGGGTCCCAGCCATAGTACTAGCCACCAAACATCTTTTTAGCTTTGCCTGATTTCTTTAGCAAAGAGACTAAACACAACTCACCTACTCTCTTCCCGCAGCCGACTGTTTTTAACGAGATCTCAGGCCAGTCCATTACGGCCTACAGCAGGGTGACGCAGCTCAAGGAAGAACATTTATGATACTTTCTTCACGGAAATGCAATCAGACCGAGACACTAAGGCTGAAGAACTACCACGTCTGCAGTGCAAAATGATTAATATGGTGATTATTGCTTCAAGGAAATGATTAAAAAAAAAAGATAAAAAATATGTAGCCTGTTCTTTGCAAACTAACTTAACTATTTATCTATGACTTCAAGCTTCTTTTGGCAAATGCAGTATGTTAAATCTTTATCACTTTTGACATTTCGGTTGATTTCCTTTGAATTTAATCCCTTTTCCTATGAATTAATCTATTACTTTGAATGTGCTATTTAGTTTTCCTGTATGGTTTTCACCTAATACTTGTTGTTAAATAGCACTTGGGTTTGTAACACATGTAGTTAGTTTCCTTGGAGGGCAAAGCTCACTTAATATTTGTGATATGTCCTGCTAAAATCAATCACAGTTTCCCTTTTTTAAAAGCATTCTTTTAACTTTTTCAGATCCTTCCACAAACAACCTCAGAGGATTACCAGAGATACATACTGCCGCGGGACTAAAGATGGTACTTGTTTGTGCTTCAAATATTTACATCTGTCCCACATAAAAGCAAAAAGGTCTCAGTAACTCTTTTTCGTGTCTGAGAGCCTGTGAGCTATAAGCCCTTTGGTGCCATAAGTTTCTCTTGTAGCACTCAGTGTTGAGGTTTAGAAATACTGAAAACACTGAACATATAAAAGGCCTGAGAGGTGTGTGGGTGGAGGTGTTGACTTATGCCTCATAAGGCCTTGTTTAACAGCAACTGTGGGCCTAATCCCTCTCAGCCACTCGGCATGTCCCTGAGCTGTCCATGTTAATGCCTGACCTGTCATTACAGCGGTCCAATTCTCACAGTGTTGACATGAGCTGTCAGCGGATTAGGACGTTTCATTATGCCTTCAAAAGGAGAGACGGAGAGGAAGAGAAAAAGGAGAGGTGAACGTGTCATGTCTGAGTTAAGAGAGCACAAGGTAAGGTCAGTTTCACAACAACAGAAGGCTTTAAAAGAAACCCATAAAGGTTGATGGGTCCCTCACCTTTAACCATGACTGCTGTTCAGTTCTGCTTTACTACCACTCAGACAGACAACTGCAGATCCTGCTGCAGTTTCTGAAACAAACCCAAGAAAGTTTTGGGTTTTCTGGTAAGTAGTGTTAAAGTTATATTTTTCCACCATACTTTTTAACCAGGCTTTACTTGCCCAGTCGTAAAAATACAAGATTTAGTAGATAACTGCGAATGATGTGAAAAGCAATATAACCTGTAGAAAACTTCCACCAGAAGTCATTTGTCATCAAGTTTGCAGCCCGTCTCAACCTACCTCCAAAAAGGCTACTGGAGTTTGTGGTGAGTGCCATGAAAGTTTTGTACCAGGCTTTGTTGCCAAAGGTTTGACTCACCAGTACTTTGACTCAAATACGCTGACATTGCAAGCATGTGTCCAACAGGATACCTACAAAAAAGTGTTTTAAAGACAACAGCAATAATTTCTTATAAGAGAAATTATCTCTGAATTCAGAGTTCTGCACCTACTGTCCAATCTCAAAAAAATCTAGAGCCTGGATGAAAGTATCAATGAGAGATTGGGAATACAAGGCCAATATGAGAGATAAAACATATGTTCAATGAGAGTTTAGTTTAGTTTCAAGTTTATATGCAATTTTTAAAAATTGTGATAGCTTGTGATCCTAATTTTCCTTAATTTTGAATGTTTTTTTTTTTTAATCGGAGACATTTCGGGTTGAATTTTAGCCACTAGCATTAATATGTTTGTTCATAAAGTCATTTTGTCCTTTTCAGCATCTTTTTGTTCTTCCTTCTGCTCCTGTGATGGAAAATAATGACACCACTGTGCCTCTGAAACGGCTCAGTTCACTGGAAGAAAAAACTCCCACACAGCTCAGCTGACAAGTCAAAGGTAACATGCACTCTGTGTCAAACAGAGTTAGAATATCACCAAAGTATGCAAGCTTGAGTTATCGCCTATGAGCTAAGCATACAGGTGCAGCTTATCAGGCTGATGTCAGCAGACGACAGCATCACAGATGCAGAGCACTGTTCACGAGTGTTTAAATCACCACAGACCCGTGGATGAACTAAAATGAAGGTATAAACTTCAGTGCAAACCCAAATGCAGAGCTTCCTGTAGTGTGACATCTCATTTCATCACCGTGATTTCATGTATTTCCTTTCTTTTGGTTAGTTTCTTTCAGTAAGCCTTAGTAAGATCAAGATCAAGACTGACTCATTTGTTTTTCCTCAGTTTTACACACCTAAAGCTAATAGAGCAATAAAGTGACGTTAGTTTGTTTGGCACAATATTGAGTGTGCAGTACATTCTGCACCTGCACTCCTGCTTACTTTTTTCTTTAATTCTGTGTCCTCAGTTAGGCTTCAGAACATGCTGGTTGTAGCAGAGCAGCATTTGAAGATTTACATCAAAAGACAAAATCAAAACAGTCTATTTCAATTTTTCCATTCATAATTCATGTTACAGCTAGGATTTTCTTTATAAAGTTGATATGAGCTTAAAAACGGTTTTAAAATGCAAGATGTCAGATTTTAAGATGTGATTGAAAATAAAAATAATTTTGATTAACTGTTTATATTAAGGAAATTTTAAAAAAAAAGTGATTTTACAGCCCTGCTTTTAAGATGGGCTGACTAATGGTCTGACTTTTCTTCTTTTTTGCAGACATTGTATTTGGACAGAGCAAATGGTAGCAAGTGAGAATAATTCTAAGTTGCTGCAGCATATCTTATTTCATTACTAATATTCAGGGCTTCATATATATCTATTTAGACCGGCCTCTTCTCTGCTGGTTTTTCTAAATCTCTTTTTCAAACCCACCTCTTCTCCTTGGCCTTGTTTCCTAATAAGACATTGGCATGATTTGATTTTTATCTTATTTTCTTGTTTCTCTTATTGCATGGCTATTATTTTACCCATGTTTTTTGCCTTTTAGATTATTTTATCTGTTTTTATATGTCATTTTATGTTTTAGGTAAGATGATGTGTCTTTATTTCTGATACTTTTATTTATCATCCTGTACAGCACTTGTGTCTTCTGTGGGTGTTTTTAAGTGCTTAACAAATAAAGTTGGATTGGATATCTACAGTCATGACTAAAACTAGACTCTTTTTCTTTGTATTTTTGCTTTTTGTATCTGCTTAATCTGGTGGCAAAACTCTGATATATCAAGCTCACAAAAACATGCATTAACCATTTGCTTTGAAACAAATCAGACCACAGTCGTGAAGAAAAATTTGTACTTTCCAGACATGCTGCTGCCCACATCACTCATAACTATATCATCATACGTCTCGCAGACAGTTTGATGTGCTTTGAGTGCAGCAGGAAAACCCCTGCCTCATCCTCTTCCTGAAACTAAACTAAGTATTAAGAAGGAAAACTAACACTTGTGCACACAAACACTCACTTTGATCTGTGCTGTCACTTAGCACTGTTCCACCTGAGCCTCCCTGCGAACCGATCATTACCCAGCTGTATTGATCTCCACTTGTGTCTCTCTCTGTCCTCTTCTTCTTCTTCTTCTCTCACCCTACATTTTCCTGCCACATCTACGTGTTCTTCTCCCAACCCTGCTTTTCCTTTTATCAAAGCGTTGTTTTTTTCAACAGATCTTCAGATCATTTTCTCTCCGTCTTCATCTGTAATGGTTTTCATCTTGTGTCTGTGCTATCAGATTTCAGACTGTCATTTTCACGCAAATTATAAATCTTAAAAACACTTGAAGACTTTCATCAATACACACTTTTTTTGTTTGTTTAAACACATACATGTTATCTTTTGAGCCTTCAAAAGTCCTCAAAGGTTGATCTTAGAAATTCGATGACAAAAAAAAAAGTGTGGGGTCATCCACCCTACCACCATCCACCACCCATCCTCCTCCCAGTGATCAGGCCCTCAGGGGACCAACACTGGACACTTAGGGAGGCAGTGTGTCAGCTCAATAAACAGCAATTTATTGGCAGGGAACTGAATAAGCTGCCATCTCTGGGATCTATCAGCAGAGGCTCTTATTGGTGCTGAGAGTCATTAATGAGAAAGAGGAAGATGAGAGGGACTGATATCAGCTGCATTTGGTGATGAGCTTTCTTTCACGGACATGGACTCAGTGTAGAAAAATAAAAGTAAGATCATTTTTTATCCTCTCTGTTTGTTAAATCTTGTTCAGTTACATATGGGCAAAATCAGACCCCAAAAAAAGTGAAGACGTGTTTGTTATAATGCAGCACAGACTTGAAATGGTCTCAGCTTATACTGTTTTTTTTTTTTTATTATTTACACTGAATACCCTACTCTTTAAAAACTTATATAAACTACATTTTAATATTTCTTTAACTGTGAGTGTTTTTCTTTAACACTAAAAGGGCCACAGAGCAGCCCTTTGGCTTTACCCCCTTTAATGTACTTCAATAAACTATTTCAATTTGGTTAAAACCTTTTTCACAATTATATTCTAATTATAAATCTATCTTTTATTATGTTGTATTTCTACGATGAGCACTTTCAGTTGGCCTCGATTTATGAAATATGCTAAACAAATAATTATGCCTTAAATAATTCTAATAGGATCCCTCACATCAAAGCACTGAGAGTGTTTGTTGCTCAAAGACAACGTGACCTTTTACATGTGAGGCAAGTGGGAAAAAGAAAGTAAAAGCAAAACTACTAAATTCATATAAAATCAAAATGTTTGAAACCTTGCAAAATATTTTAAGTACCAACACACACACACTCACCAATGGGTCTATTCTACACACTGTGGTGCTTTAAGTACACAGCATTAATGAGACAAAATCAACCTCATCAGACTGGTCTGACTAGATACACTCAAATGCTTAGGAACAAAAGACATGCGTGAGTGACAAGGTAACTGTACAAGCAGCCTTAAAAAGCAACTACATAATAGTAGGGGACTTTTTAATGACATTTGTCTTTTAGCTTTACCTGCTTGACCTGGTTTTTATGTGTATTAGCCTACAACTATTGCACATAATGCAGAAAATCATATGGAGTTGGTTCCTTTCACATTCCCTGTATTCATATCATTTATTTAACCAGTTTTACAAGCTTCAGATTTAGATATAAGATCAAATCTAGCCAACACTATCGCTTCACATTTAGGCTCTGTCTGCTAAGTGTTAGTCAGCATCTGAGTCTCCTGTCCTGACCTTTGACCCCTCCACTCCAGTTAGGTCACTGAGAAGTTGAGATCTTTTAAGTAAATATTGAAAGAACAGTTGTATAACCGCGTAAAGCTCGCTCCGTACCTGTACCACGCCAGACCCTTCTCGTAGAACCGGTCGAAGAAGTGCGGCTCAGCTCCCACAGCTCTCACGTCCGGGTGGATGCGCAGGAACTCCAGCAAAGCCCGTGTGCCCCCTTTCTTCACCCCGATGATGATAGCTTGAGGAAACTTTTTACTCCCGAAAGTGTTGGCCACAGAGATGTTCGAGGCAACATCTGTGTTTGAGAAGTCTGACAGCTGTCCCCGGACAAACGACACCTGAGATGCGTTATGCTGCTGCGTGGATTCTTCCTCTCCATCTTTTAGGATCATTTTAGTCTGAAAACCGCTCTGACGCTCGTACACGGGCCTTGGTAAAGAGTCACAGAATCCGTTGAGGCAGTAGAAGAGGTAAGTGAAGAGTATTATCATGGTAAAGAAGACGGACAGCTTGGACTGCACCCTCAGGTGTCCAAAGTTGAACGCAGCTCTCCATTTACTACATCCCATGAGTCGCAATCCTGAGAACGAGGACACAACGCAGGAAACATGCCCTGACACAGGACTTCATACTAACTTAGACTGAAACTCAGACTGAAAACGTTTTGAAATAAACAACGCACTCGTGCCACAGCGGCAAGTGTCGCAAAACTTGCCCTGCGCGCGTCAATAAGCGCCACATATCTACACTGCCTATCTCTCCATCCTGCTGCCTCATGTAGCTCGTAAAATCATCCAAAAAAATTCACAGCAAGTCACAGCATTAAAGGTGGCAGTGAGCTGACGCCCCGCTGCGCTCCGTGCCGTCTGTGCGCTCCCGTGGCTCCTTGGCAGCGCTTCCACTGAGAGAGAAAATCCTGAACACCCCTTCCTTTCTCGTTGCCATACCCACGCCCTGTTTATCAAACACACACGCCCCCTTCCAATCTCAGCCTGTGCGATACTATAATAGGGGCAAAAATAATCATCAGCCTCTCCCAGTTGACAGAGAAGGAGAACCTGTCATAACTCTTTATTTTGAAAGCAATTTAGAGAGTCGTTATGTAGATTGTATTTAATGCGTTGGAGGAAAGCAAAATTTGAAGCATGATGAAGAGGGAATATTAGCTTTTGATTGCAGGCTGAGGGTGCAATTTCCTCTCATTTCCCCTTAATTTACCACATCCAACCTGAAGCTTTATTTTTATTTGCTTGCCTCGCTGCTTTTGGGTTGTTCCTTTCCCAACATGTCTGCTGTGTTGGGACCCGTGGCCACCTGCTGTCTGCTGGCTCTCCTGACCACACACCCCCATGGAGCCAGCTATGAGACACTCATTTAACCTTTACACTCTGGCCAAACAGGGGCAGACAGGTGTAGTTTGCTTTCTCTTTTTCCTGTATTTTATGGCTTTTATTGGAGCAGCTAATACATATTTGTGCTTACCAGTTTCCTCTAAAGTTGCATTTGATGAAATCACAATTTTAGAGAAACAAGAGCAGTCATGTAAGATATTTGTGTGCAAATTTTGAGAAGAAAAAATCCTTCTGTCACTGGAAAGTCTAGCCATTTGTTTTGAGTCTTGCCAATAATCCTTAGGGAAAGATTTTATATTTTCCAGACAGATGAAGTGTCTGGATGCATTTAAAAACTGGCCAAGTTAAAAATCGGTGTTTGGCTCTGTTTCATTCTTGCATCAAGATCCTTCAAAATATTTTTGCATTATGTATTTTGGTGAGAATATTTCCATTTGATTCTACTTACATCCATGAACAGTTTGTAATATCTCTTGCTGAGTGATGCAACCTGCAGCAAGTCAGATGTTTTCCAATGTTTTAAACACACTTGGGTGTTTTGGAGAGTTTTCGTCAACTGAATAAAAAGTAACCAAAGACGCCAGGCGCTGTAATTATTGCCACTGTACACTGACAGCATAAATTACAACATGAAATGTGGTCGTAGCTTTTGTTTTTGTTTTAAATTTTGAAAAGTACTTGTTTATTTCTCTTAAATGTGGAGTTTTGGTGGATCATTTTACTCTGGTGAAAGAAAAAAAAACTAATATAGACAAGCAAGAGAACACAGAAATGGAGAAAAATCTATCCTTCAGCTCAACTGTAACATTCTTTATTTATTAACCCACTGAGCAATAGACGGCTATTAGACATTGAGGTTTTTTTTAGACCTAATTTCAATCGTCTAGATTCTGTATATTTTTAGACGGAATTTAGACATTACACTTTCACCCATTAGTCGATAACTATTTATTTCAAAAAGCAACTGTGAGTTGCATAACTGATCTCCAAGTACTTAACCAAAATAATTATGATAGCCATTGAGCAATATACAGTGTAGTATGGATATAGCCCAGATTTAGACATGGTCTACATTTGGTCTAAATTAAGAAATCTATAAAACTTTCATTTTCAGACATGTGGTTGCCAGGTTTTAGACCAGTTGTCTAAACTACATTTAGATGTCTATTAGCCATGTTGAGCCATGTTGCTGCACAAGGTCATGAACCAACTTTCTCTTAGCACCTCTACTAAACTCAAAGTCTCCTGCATATCAACACGACTAAGGATGACATCACTGAACTGCTGCTAATCAGGACAGATAAGATTAAATGCTCCTGTACAACCCGACCTCCTAAAGTTTACCACATGATTCACATGAGCAGAACTGGCTCTTAAATAGTTTCAATGTTGAACCAACATCTACAGTGTGTGGTAAATAATGACATAATGGCATTGAAAAGACTGACAATGGTTGGTGCCACATTGAAAATGTTGACTCCAAGTTACTGCCTGCTGATCTGGAAAAGGCAAAGAGGTGGATTGTGGGGAGTTTCATATATCCTCATCTGGCAATCAGCCTCATCCCTTATACCAGACCTCTTTTCAACTATCAGGAAACTTTTAAGATTAGCTTTGCACAATCGGCAGCTCAAAAACTGCTTATTTGTCTTACACTAGCTTCTGTGAAAACCCTCATTTCAGCACTATTCAACCTCAACCCATACCTGACAAATTTTGAGTTATAAAATCCGGGAGATTTATGCGGCGTGCGCCGGGTAGTTTTGGGGTTACCATGTATGGTGGATATGAGTGAATTATGAGAGTATTTGTAATTAAATTGCTCATCCAAATAAGTATAAGTGAAGCTGCACATTTTTGTTGTTTTGTTTTACCAAAAACAAATGGTAATATAAAAAAAATAATAGCTACAATATGCCTTGAACTTTTTTAGTCCACTAATATTGGTGTTTAAGTCCTCATATGTTTTACATGCTCTCCCGTATGAGGCTCTCTAAATATCTGTGTGTGCAATATAGCACTTTTTATGGGAGGCTGCCCTGAACACATCACTCTGAGAAGGTGCAAAGACAGTCAGTGCTTAATATTATATCTCATGTTTGTTTCCCTTTCATTGAAGTGTTCATTTTGCAACAAACACTGCTTAAATATAGTTTACATCTTAAACCGACCTGAATCCTCCCAAATTGTAAAGTAAAAGTATCAATCCAGTGTCTGTGAGGCTTAGCAGAAACATAGGACACTCTATGGTTGTCTGGAAACCTGGCAACTTTGGACAAATATAGTGATCCGATTCATGAATGAACATGGACCATGCAAACTACGGAGAGAGTCCCGGGAGAAATGACAATACGGGAGATAGGCGGGAGAGAGGTCTGAAATACGGGAGAGTCCTGGGAAAAACGGGAGTGTTGGCAGGTATGCCTCAACCTGAAATGCTTTATGTTGTTTAGGGGTATCAAGTTAGACACAGCTTGTTGGTGTTACTTTCTACACAGTAGTGGAATCATGAAGTGACCTAAACATTATGCCTTTTCATATAATAGTGAGGCTAGCTATTGCTGTTTTTGTCTGCAAACAAAAACTCACCATTGGTTTCAGGTGTCTACATCCTGGGAAGAGAGAATAGGGATGACTTTCCTTGACAAGCAAATAAGCACTGATGAGTCACTTTCCAGGACATATTGAATCAACAAAATGCAGAACAGAGGAAACTGAGCTGAGGGAGAGACTTTCCAGGGCAGGTGTGTCTTTGACAGAGTTACCAGGTGGGCTCTTCCTTCTTCCTTCCTTGTCCTAATAGGAGGTTATGACCTAATGCTAGGTAAGAGAGGCGGGGATTAAGTCAAAGCATTATGCTTGACCTGCCGACCAGTCATCAGTTCTCTTTGACCTTGCATGGTTCCTAGCTTAATTGTGAACCGCTGTAAGCTATGCCACTTTTATGGTTTACATCTCAAGAGCCACCAATCAAATGCTCTCTAAGAAGCTGAAAAACTATAGTCCATCTATGTTCAGGTAGAGTGTACGTCTATGTGCTAGGGTGGAGTTATTTAGTCTAGTTTGTTACCTTCCAATGTCTAGACATCTTGCGCTGTTTATGCTAAAAGTACAAACTTTATCCAAACCCACAGTGTTTTCTCTAATTAAGTACTTTTGGTGTCTGAACCTAACCATAAGTTTAGGGAAAGGTCATGGTCCTGGCTGGAGCAGTGCATCAATATTGACTTTTGGTTTCACACGGAACACAAACAGCGATCTCCTGGGTGAAGGAGAATGAGCTCTCTGGCAGGAAGCCCTGAAAGCTTGTAATTTGTGCCACCACATTGTAATGCTGCCATGTTGACTGACATGAAAAGGCTTTTCTGTTGCAGACATGAAATGTAGCATACTTCTGATGGAAACACATTTGTTTAGAATTCATTTGCACTTACGTGGAAAATCAGGGAAATTCATGCCCATGTACACAAATCGAGGGGTAGAATTCTTTGACCTTTTCTCAAACTGCTGTCACCATGGGTTGGGCAGGGCTATTTGCCATGACATGGAAATAAAAACCCCATGCTTTTAAAATTGATTTGGAGAAGCTGCTGCATGCTTTACCACCAAAAATCTAAACAATGATTTCAATGAGGTTTGGTGTCAGTTCCCAGAATGTCTTAAAAATCTTGTCTATGGTGGCCAGGAAGCCCCAAATGACCACATTTCAGAACTTCTCATAAAAATGCGAAACACAGCCACATTAATTAAAAAAAAACAACAACTCACATGCCACAACACAAATACTGATAGACACAACTAAAGTTATCACCACAATGCTGAAATGTGCCAACACACCAGTGTTTCCTGTGGACTTTATTCCCAACCAGCATGTGGCTGAAATTGTGAAACTTGGTGAAACAGTCAGTGAGTTTATGTGGCTACTTTTGATCAGATTAGCATCTGAAAAATGTCCCAATGGTAATAAAAAGTATTCATATAAACTCTGTATTCGTGATCCACTGTGGTGTATTACTTTAACCTGATAAACACTCACCCCAACTGTGTTTTGTTGGCAGATGTTTTGTGCACGAAGGTCCTCTTTGACATCTGTTTTTATTGAAAACAACAATCCCCACAACGGATGTTAAAACTCTATTTCCATTATTGTGTCACTATGATGTTGGTAGCCCTGCTAAGATATCACGCTACTGCAGGCAACATCAGCCCCATCAGAA